AAATGTTCATGGATATACAATGACAAGGCTCTTTTCTCGGAAAAAATTGCATTTTTGTCAGGTTACAGATGCTCAGTGTAACGAGAATAACTTTTGAATAGTGAATGATAGGAAGGTCAGGTTTGTGTAGATTAAAAGAGCAGATTTTGCGCTATCGAACGATCACGTTGGAGTTGAGAACTCATATGAAAAACGTTTTTGTTCGGTGACGCACAAAATCTCCAATAACAACTAATAACCTTTTGATTAAACGTTAACCTATTGAATATAGCATACACTTGTACCCCAGAGTGTCCTCTTTCTAATGATGAAAAGATCAGCTCGCTAGCTGCATCCGTTCGGGAGATATTCTTCGCAGAGTTTTCCCCATTTACTTCTGGCGCCGACAATAGTAATAGTAATGTGCCACCCCTAATTCACAAGCTGACAAGCATAATGAAGCAAAACAAATTGTGTAATTTGAAATATATATGACATTTTACGAAAAAAGACATCCACCTAATTAGTTGTTTTGCATTTATCGGTGAGAAGAAAAGAATGTTTATAAGCGTTCAAAACTACTTTTTTGGTGATTGACAGCTTACGCTTTATCAAACTATGCATAAAAAAGGCAAAAAAAAAATTCCACTTGAATTTTGAATTACGGACGCCTAATAAAACAAATCATGTTAAACTAAAATAAGGTACATTTTTAGATTGTATTCATGCACACATTACTTTAGCGCAAACTTTCAGTAAATATTACATAACATGATCAGAAAAAAGAATGATCAAGGATACGAACATACGCATATTAACACTAAAATGTGTGAGAAGAAAAAAAGAAAGAACGAATATTTTCAAAAGTATTTATTTTTTCTTCTATTCTTTTTGGACATTTTAAGATTAGTGCATGTAGTTTCTATTACCTTTATCATTCATTCTTCTGATGATATTGCATAATTCTCCTCAATACCCTGAGATAGAGTAATACATACATACATAAATGAAATCTAAAAATATATTCCGTTCTTGTATCTTATTATTTTTTGTATCACTTTCACCGATTCTGTCGACAAATTTCTTGTTCCATTGTCATTTTCGTCATATTGATTTTGATCACAACTTTTCTTCTTCTTCATAGTATTTATTCTCATTATATTGAGAATTTTTTTCCTAATTATCCATCAATGTTGCCGCTAGACTAATAATAGATATAAATTATAAAATAGACTGCTAACAAAGCCTCAGACGAAGAAAAGTAGTACAAAGAATGCAAACTAAAACAAAAAGATAAAATAGGCCAGATCATTTCTGAAAGAAGATGCGGAGTCGGCCTGTTTAACACAAACGTACAATGACAAAAAGAAATGAAAAAATCTATGATATACAGCATAGATATGACATGGAAGTACTGAATTAGTATTGGATTACTGTAATTTATATAAAGCACAACAAGTAAGTAGTAAAATTTGTTTGTATGATTTCTTCAATTATATATCGAGAAGTGCTCAATAGTCATCAATTCAATGATCCCTCGAATTCATCACGAGCTACCAGTTCTCATATTGTCTTTTCGATAATAAAACTTGAACCTATTCAAATAAATACCTTCTCGATGTATTCACAAAATAATTCATTAGTACTGTGTTAGAAGAGTAAAATAATGTTATGTTCGAATTTTTGTAATGAAAACTTTTATTATCTTCTCATAAAATTTTTCAATAGGAAATACACCAAAAGATACGCCGTTATCAGGAATTTTAGATTTATTTTCATCTGTGTTTATTACTAAATTTCTTTTTTGTCTGTGTAATTTTAAAAAAAATATTTTTAAGTATTTATTTGAATACTGTTTTAATTGATAGCTATCATTGATGTGGAACTATAAGCCATCTCTCGTCCTATTTTTTTTCTTTTCCTCTTCATATATGTAATCAATCAGGCGAGGGTGTCGTTCATCTGAAGAAGTACCACTCTCTATGACATGTATAGAGGATGAATATGATACAGAATGATGGATTCAACTTATAGTCAGTGTACATATATACATGAGTCATCCAATCAATATACAGATCGATATTTACTAATGCACTTAGTTCGAATAGAAGGTCCGAAAAAAAAATTAATAAAAACGTATAGAAACAAAAGGTATATTTACCTATGTATTTTGTTTTCGTGAAAGTTCAGTCTCACACAAAATTGGTTGTACTATGATTCAATTCTGCGTGTAGTGTAGCACCATCGTTTGTGTGAGAATAAATACAAACGAAAGATATCAGTAAATCAATTCCTTTACTTTAGTTTAGTTCCATAATTATACTACGTCAGAAGAATGTGACTTCATAAATAATCTTTATTAGTGATGTACTTCATAGGCAATAAATATGAGATTTCAAAAATGAGTCTTGTCTTAGGTGTCGCGACACGTAGTGCATTCGACATTGATTGGCATTTCTTCCATTGCTTTATATCACTAGACTATGTACTATTACTCTGACAAAAACGTTTTACTATTTGCTGGAATATAAGCTTCTCTTGTACACAACGGAATATCTCACATTTCATGATGAGATTATAGAGCGAAATAATTCGTCACAGACTGTTTTCAAGTATCTATCAAGACAGAGAGCTATGCATATAAGTAAAGTTGAATAGTACTTTTTTCTTTATAAGATGTACTAATATGAGTCTATCTTTCGGATATTTATTACTTACGAATAAACTTATAATAATCAAAGAGTCAGTAGCTAAATTCAAATGCTCAATAAATGAATATTTTAACGTTATCTTGTACCTATTATCCGTTTTTCAGATTCTTCCTATTAAATGTCATCAAAAACACCCGATATTATTATTCTTAATAATAAACCATCTTCCAGCATGACTGAAGAATTTTCTAAATTGATGATCACGTTACCAATTCATCAACAAAAAATTCAACTTAAATTAGATTCTCATTGTAATGAGGATGCCGACATTATACAAAATTGTTTGGCTTTACATATTGGTTTGTCATTAGTTGAATTCGTACTTCAAGAATGTCCACAATGCGCATATTGGTTAAAAGATCATTTTTTACCATCAAATCATATTCTGTTTACAACGGAAGTGGTAAATTTTCTTTTTTTCTGTATTTTCGTTCGTAGATGAGTTTGTTTTTTAATTGTTATTGTAGAATCCATCAAATAGTCAGATTGATGAAATGTTTAATATAACCCAGGTCGAACGATACGGTCCGCCATACGGCCGTAATAATGGGCACAGAAATACGGACCGTCACTCCATTAAAATAGATCCGTATACGGTCGTAATGTCACAGTATACAGCTCTATGTTAATCGAGACGTTAACACAGGGTCGGATACTGTGACATTACGACCGTATACGGATCTATTTTAATGGAGTGACGGTCCGTATTTCTGTGCCCATTATTACGGCCGTATGGCGGACCGTATCGTTCGACCTGGGTTATATTAAACATTTCATCAATCTGACTATTTGATGGATTCTACAATAACAATTAAAAAACAAACTCATCTACGAACGAAAATACAGAAAAAAAGAAAATTTACCACTTCCGTTGTAAACAGAATATGATTTGATGGTAAAAAATGATCTTTTAACCAATATGCGCATTGTGGACATTCTTGAAGTACGAATTCAACTAATGACAAACCAATATGTAAAGCCAAACAATTTTGTATAATGTCGGCATCCTCATTACAATGAGAATCTAATTTAAGTTGAATTTTTTGTTGATGAATTGGTAACGTGATCATCAATTTAGAAAATTCTTCAGTCATGCTGGAAGATGGTTTATTATTAAGAATAATAATATCGGGTGTTTTTGATGACATTTAATAGGAAGAATCTGAAAAACGGATAATAGGTACAAGATAACGTTAAAATATTCATTTATTGAGCATTTGAATTTAGCTACTGACTCTTTGATTATTATAAGTTTATTCGTAAGTAATAAATATCCGAAAGATAGACTCATATTAGTACATCTTATAAAGAAAAAAGTACTATTCAACTTTACTTATATGCATAGCTCTCTGTCTTGATAGATACTTGAAAACAGTCTGTGACGAATTATTTCGCTCTATAATCTCATCATGAAATGTGAGATATTCCGTTGTGTACAAGAGAAGCTTATATTCCAGCAAATAGTAAAACGTTTTTGTCAGAGTAATAGTACATAGTCTAGTGATATAAAGCAATGGAAGAAATGCCAATCAATGTCGAATGCACTACGTGTCGCGACACCTAAGACAAGACTCATTTTTGAAATCTCATATTTATTGCCTATGAAGTACATCACTAATAAAGATTATTTATGAAGTCACATTCTTCTGACGTAGTATAATTATGGAACTAAACTAAAGTAAAGGAATTGATTTACTGATATCTTTCGTTTGTATTTATTCTCACACAAACGATGGTGCTACACTACACGCAGAATTGAATCATAGTACAACCAATTTTGTGTGAGACTGAACTTTCACGAAAACAAAATACATAGGTAAATATACCTTTTGTTTCTATACGTTTTTATTAATTTTTTTTTCGGACCTTCTATTCGAACTAAGTGCATTAGTAAATATCGATCTGTATATTGATTGGATGACTCATGTATATATGTACACTGACTATAAGTTGAATCCATCATTCTGTATCATATTCATCCTCTATACATGTCATAGAGAGTGGTACTTCTTCAGATGAACGACACCCTCGCCTGATTGATTACATATATGAAGAGGAAAAGAAAAAAAATAGGACGAGAGATGGCTTATAGTTCCACATCAATGATAGCTATCAATTAAAACAGTATTCAAATAAATACTTAAAAATATTTTTTTTAAAATTACACAGACAAAAAAGAAATTTAGTAATAAACACAGATGAAAATAAATCTAAAATTCCTGATAACGGCGTATCTTTTGGTGTATTTCCTATTGAAAAATTTTATGAGAAGATAATAAAAGTTTTCATTACAAAAATTCGAACATAACATTATTTTACTCTTCTAACACAGTACTAATGAATTATTTTGTGAATACATCGAGAAGGTATTTATTTGAATAGGTTCAAGTTTTATTATCGAAAAGACAATATGAGAACTGGTAGCTCGTGATGAATTCGAGGGATCATTGAATTGATGACTATTGAGCACTTCTCGATATATAATTGAAGAAATCATACAAACAAATTTTACTACTTACTTGTTGTGCTTTATATAAATTACAGTAATCCAATACTAATTCAGTACTTCCATGTCATATCTATGCTGTATATCATAGATTTTTTCATTTCTTTTTGTCATTGTACGTTTGTGTTAAACAGGCCGACTCCGCATCTTCTTTCAGAAATGATCTGGCCTATTTTATCTTTTTGTTTTAGTTTGCATTCTTTGTACTACTTTTCTTCGTCTGAGGCTTTGTTAGCAGTCTATTTTATAATTTATATCTATTATTAGTCTAGCGGCAACATTGATGGATAATTAGGAAAAAAATTCTCAATATAATGAGAATAAATACTATGAAGAAGAAGAAAAGTTGTGATCAAAATCAATATGACGAAAATGACAATGGAACAAGAAATTTGTCGACAGAATCGGTGAAAGTGATACAAAAAATAATAAGATACAAGAACGGAATATATTTTTAGATTTCATTTATGTATGTATGTATTACTCTATCTCAGGGTATTGAGGAGAATTATGCAATATCATCAGAAGAATGAATGATAAAGGTAATAGAAACTACATGCACTAATCTTAAAATGTCCAAAAAGAATAGAAGAAAAAATAAATACTTTTGAAAATATTCGTTCTTTCTTTTTTTCTTCTCACACATTTTAGTGTTAATATGCGTATGTTCGTATCCTTGATCATTCTTTTTTCTGATCATGTTATGTAATATTTACTGAAAGTTTGCGCTAAAGTAATGTGTGCATGAATACAATCTAAAAATGTACCTTATTTTAGTTTAACATGATTTGTTTTATTAGGCGTCCGTAATTCAAAATTCAAGTGGAATTTTTTTTTTGCCTTTTTTATGCATAGTTTGATAAAGCGTAAGCTGTCAATCACCAAAAAAGTAGTTTTGAACGCTTATAAACATTCTTTTCTTCTCACCGATAAATGCAAAACAACTAATTAGGTGGATGTCTTTTTTCGTAAAATGTCATATATATTTCAAATTACACAATTTGTTTTGCTTCATTATGCTTGTCAGCTTGTGAATTAGGGGTGGCACATTACTATTACTATTGTCGGCGCCAGAAGTAAATGGGGAAAACTCTGCGAAGAATATCTCCCGAACGGATGCAGCTAGCGAGCTGATCTTTTCATCATTAGAAAGAGGACACTCTGGGGTACAAGTGTATGCTATATTCAATAGGTTAACGTTTAATCAAAAGGTTATTAGTTGTTATTGGAGATTTTGTGCGTCACCGAACAAAAACGTTTTTCATATGAGTTCTCAACTCCAACGTGATCGTTCGATAGCGCAAAATCTGCTCTTTTAATCTACACAAACCTGACCTTCCTATCATTCACTATTCAAAAGTTATTCTCGTTACACTGAGCATCTGTAACCTGACAAAAATGCAATTTTTTCCGAGAAAAGAGCCTTGTCATTGTATATCCATGAACATTT